TTATAATTTATTAATTGGAAAAAAGAGAAAAAAGTAATAACAATATGGGAGAAAGAAGTAAATAACATTGAGTTTGATTTAAAAAAAAAAAAAAAACATTGAGTTTGATTAAGTCTTTGGACAAGAACAAAAAATCTGTCTAGATAAGAACGACTCATAACGCAAAATATGGTAGTTACGCTGACACAAACAAAGAATAATGGATAAGGCAAAATGTAACACGCATCACACCGAAGTAGATCGATGTCTTGACAAACACCTGTACCTCAACCGACTAAATGTATAAATTATGTTATATGATATGAATGACTAGAAAAAAGGTTAACAATGTGATTATTTTCTCACGAAACTATATTAACGACATAGTAGCGTGTCGAAAGAGCATTTAGTTAATGCTTCCGAGAAATAATCATATCGCATTATTCTTACAAATTGATAGCATTTTTAGTACTATACTTTGAAGCAAAAGGAAGATGAAATTAAATCATGCTTGACCTAACTGGATGTGGAAGGCCCAAGTCGGCCCAACTATGTGGCCACAACTCGACTCGCAAATACGTACGTAATTGGTTTTTAGAGTTTTTTTCTTTCACAAATAACACAACTGCCACCAATTAAAAATTACAGTATTACAAAACACTGTGAACACTGAACAATCGAACTATGATTACTTTTATGTCTATGATATGTTGAATTATTATGATTAGCATACATATATTTATTTCTACAAATGTTATAAAAACTTAATTTCCTAATAATTTTTTCAATAAAAACAGACACTACTTGGGATCAACACGTATGCATGTGTTCACTAATCACCACCCACACGGATATGGACACTGTGTAGGGACAACAGCCTATTCAAAATCAAATAATTATTTCAAAGGCACCAGACAAAAAGTGGGAGCCACTCGTTTATGCCAAGAATATTGAATAACAAATTAGTGATGTACTATGTGATAAAAAATAATTTTCACTCATTCTTAAAAAAGAATAAAAAAATACATCAACGCTTATTGGTAGTAGTAGAGAGTTCCATGAAAACGAAATCCACGTCGAATGTATAATCAAACGGTCAAATATTTAATTATACTATAACATTAGCATAAATTCTCGTGACGTGGCAATATTATGGCGGTAGAAATTTTAACATTGCGGTGTTAGCTTCACCATTAAATCTGTTAAAAGCTCTTCCTCACTCACTCTTCTTTTTCCCCAAAAAAAAAAAACCAGAGGAAGAGATCACGAAACCCTAAGTCCCAAATCCTTCGAATCTATAAGCGTTTCTCAAACATAATCAAGAAACTGTGTTTAGTTTTTGGATTTCTACAAGCATGTAAGACGAGATTTTGCTTCTTTTGTTTTGCATGGTGGATCGATCTGTGAGAATGGGGACAGAGATGAAGTCGATTAGGGTTCCGAGAAGGGTCTGGCTTGGATCACAAATATCTATAGTTCTCCTCGTGGGTGGAAACCATACCTCCTCCAGGTTTTGTACTCGCTAGATTCTACGAATTTCTCTTCACGCTTCTTCCTTGTTCTTAAGATCTGTTTAGCAAATCGTATTAGACAAAATCAATCTACTTTGAGAGATTGAGATTCTCGGTTTCGTCATCAATGGGTATAAAGATCTTGAAGCTCAATATCTTCCGTGGATCTACGAATAGGCATGCTCTGTTTCGTGCTCTCATCATTGCCTCTGCTCTATCTGTTGTCCCTTTGATGGAGTTAACCGCTAACGATCGCGTCTTTGGTGATGATGGAGCAGTGGATTTGATCGATCTCGGCCGATTTGTTATCGCAGGACCGAAATTGTTCTTTGATAAGCTCGTTGAACCATTCTGGGGTAAAACTGAGACAGAGAAGTATCCACAAGTGGTGATTTCTGATCTAGTTGAAGAGCTGATGGGGTTAAAGCTATTGCATTATGATGCTAAGGTTCTCTGCATTGGTCCCGGGTCGAATTCTGCTGTTTCGGCATTCAAAGAGATGGGTTTCTCAGATGTTCACGGGGTTCCTAAGCATCCATTGTTTTCCGTTTTCAGTAGGAAGCATGTCAACGAGCTTGAGCTTAGTGGCGAAAAGTCGTTTGATTTCGTGTACTGTGGGGATGTTGATCTAGTTGCTTCCCCTGCTCTTCTTGTGCTTGAGATGGAGCGAGCTCTGAAGCCTGGTGGAACCGGAGCAGTCCTTGTGAGTACTAATGGCAACGATCTTGTTAAATCCGCGACTTCGGTTTCATTCTGGCTTAAACAGTCGGAGATAGTGCGTGTAAACTACTTGGATGAGTTCACCGTCATTGTATTCAAGAGGAATGTAACGGAAACTGCTCCTTATATTGGGAAAACTCAGCTACCTAGAGATTGCCAATCTGTTGACACCAATAGACCTTACATAGAGTTTATGGAACCTCTACTCGAGCAAAAGCCTGCTGATTTCCCAAAATCAGTCGCTTACTTGCCTAAATTCCTTGATCTCTCTCTGAAGAAGAGCCTTGTCTACATTGACATTGGAGCAGCCGAGCATATAGATGCTAATTTAAATCCAAACTGGTTCTTTCCGTTATACCCACTCGACAGCAAGGCTTTCAATGTCTACTTTGTCGACCACAACACTTCAGTAATGCTATCATATGTCAAGAAACCCCGCGTCACCTTTGTTTACCATCCGGATTTGGCTGAGGACAACTCGACAGGCAAAAAGATAACTCCGCTTGAACAGCTAGAACCATTTCCAGAAGATGAGGGTTTCGATTTCCTTGCTTGGTTTGAGGAAACTGCGAAATACGCAGACTTTGTGGTCCTTAGGATGAACACAAGCACAGTGGAAATGAAGTTCCTAACTGTTTTATTGGAAACAGGAGCTATATGCTACGTGGATGAGCTCTTCCTCCGCTGCTCCAACCACAAACCAGACTGCATCAACATACTTCAAACTCTGAGAACCAGAGGTGTGTTTGTTCATCAATGGTGGGAAGACTAAACCAAGGTAACTCAATCTGGCCTCGCCTTTGTCTTATCTATGTCATTTCGTGTCTGTCTTTGTCGTAGTTTCAATGGCATCACCTTCTGTGTTTGCCATAGTTGGTCCTCGGCCACCACAGCTCCTGGCCAAGCACCTATTACTAAATAAGAAGCTGCCTGTCTGTTTATCATTGCTATCTAATTAAGAACTCAGTTTCCAATTGATATATATATTGAACCATAACATTTTATGTCTTAATTAAGCATGGCTTATATTACACAAGTCTATTGCTTAACTAAATTTGTTAATCTCCATCTCCATTTCCACCTTTCTTGTTTCCGTCTACCGTAATCTCCAAAAGCCTCTCTACAGGTTGTCTGCAAACTGGACACAGATTTGTCTGAAACCTTAACGCTTTTGCGCACCCGCTGCACATACACTGCCAAACAGATATACACAAACCATTTCAAAATTCATCACACAAAAGAGCTTCAAATTTTTGAAGTATGAACTCTATACCATGTGTCTGCAAGGAAGAACAGTTGTATCGCGTGGTTCAGACAAGCATACAACACATTCCTTTCCCTCGTCGCAACCATCAACCGTGTTCTCAATCCCATAAATCTCCCGCAACTCATATCTCATCCTATTCACCCATAGTATCTGCTTCACCACTTCTATCTTAATCTCTCCTTTCTCCTTGGTATACACCACTTGAGTAATCTGCCCATTCGTGGAACCCGACTTTCCTTCTTCCGCTGGAGTTGCCTCCGCCTTAATCGCCAACGGGAAGACATCTGTATCCATCCCCTTGAATAGCTCGGAATCTGCAAATGCCGTCAAGTCAATACCCGTTCCAGATGGTTGTATGAACTTCTGACCAAGTCCTTTTCCGAAATCAAAAGTGATTGGAGGCAAAGTATCTTCCTTTGTTGCTCTAAGATTGCCTTCTTCTTCTTCTGTAGCAAAGAAAACAACTGTGATCCTGTTCTCTCCACCACAACAACAAAAGATAAGTCATTTATATGAACTTCTGATTCAACAAGATTCAAACTTCAACTAAATTTCAACAAGGGCATATGTAAAATTTGATCATTTCATAGTTTGAAATTAAAACCTTCCGGGCATGGCTGCATCAAATGTGAAGGAGACAAGAAGTCGATTCGGATTCTCCGGGTCGGGTATGAGCCTTAAAGTCTCCTTCTTTAGATTAACATCGTTACGAATCGTGACGGCTTTCTCATGGACGTACGGAGGCGGTAGCATCGGGTGTCTACCGCCGGGAATCAAAGGATGAGGTAGTTGGTAACTGTGGGGAGGATATTGATGTAAGTGGTGGAGACTGTAAGGCAGCGGCTGCGGCTGCGGCGGAGGAAGGCAGTAACCTGGATACTGATCAAAGTAGTTAGGGTTAGGGTTCAGATACGGCGGTGCCGCGGCGAATACAAATCTATTCGCTGGGAGTTCAAGAGGAGCCGTTTCCATCGCCGGAGGAATATTGCTCATCCGCCTTCTCCCGCAGCAGAAGATCAGACTGATCAGATTCCCCATGATTGACTGGTGAAAAGTACAAAACCCAGATCGGGAAAAGAAAAAAGGTGAGGTTTTTCGTGATTCAGTCGATACAATTTAGGAGTGAAATCGGAGTTAGATTATTATGATCATTGGGAAAGGGGAGTGAGTGATGAGATTGTGATGGTGATAGTTTAAAAGGACTAATGCAATAATGCATGTGTAGAGTGTGTGTATCGCATATATACAAACTATAAAAGTCCTGAGAGAAATCAATATTAGAAGACTATGAAAGTTATTTCGCACCGACTATATGTTACGTCTATGATAATTAATTGTTGTTAGTGGAGCATTATATAGTAATTTAAATAGACAATTAGTCCGGACATAAAACAAAGAAATCATTGATCAGTATAATAATGTCCGGACTAATCAGTAGCACTAGACATGGTATCAAAAATTATTAAGAACATCTTATCTTATATAGGAGATCATAACGTCGATAAAAAGGAGTTTAAACTGGATAACATCCAAGAAATGGAAAGCACTAACAATATGTAACTCGAAAGAAAGTTTTACTAAAATGGATTTTCTTTTTTAAAACAAAATTTTGAACTCTCGAGTTTTGATCTTGTCTTGGTTGAAATTTTACTCATCGTCTTCCTCATAAATTGTCCCCAGCGATGGCGAAGCTGAAACCCTCACCGGATAAACAAGAATTGCCGGTACAGTTTCGACTGGTCCGATCATCCTCGCCATGATAAAAAAAAAAAAAAAACAAAACTCTTTCTTCGAATTAGACTTCGGCAGCTTTCGACTGTGTTGAGAAGACCTATGTGGAAATTATTTTTTGGTGATATTATTTTTTGGTGATATTTATAGAGAGAGTAGTAATTAACTAAAAGATTTATGTTCTAGAGTTTTTACATATATTAAGAAATAATTATTGTTTAATTATTTGTCAATTACTTTTTTATACTAAATATTTTTTAATAACTTTGAACCAAAAGTATTAGAAAACAGTTAATCATTACGTCTTGAAGTTTACGATATATTAATTTTAATCAATAAAAAATAAAACAAAAACTTAAAAAATCAAACTTTGCGGAACAAACTAAAACTCTAGAACATCAAATATCTAGGAACAGAGGGAGTAGAACATCAAATATCTAGGAACAGAGGAAGTATAAGAGCACCCACAGTAGTGCATGTGGGTGTATGAGTGTGAGTGTTAGTTTAATAATAAAATAAGGTTAGAGATTACTTAATCAAAAAAGCATCCTGATAAAGAAACAATTTCCATGAAAACAAACAATTCAAATGAAAACAAACAATCCATTTTCCGGTGAGTACTCGATGTTGCCTCCATTTTTTTTATTTTTACCCAACAAAATAAAACAAATTTTCGATATTAAAATTGGAACCAACCGAATTGTGACAGCTGTCACTTACACTTGGGTGTAAGAAAACACTCGACTTGCGACTCCAAACTCACTATTACAATATTTTCGCTTTTTTTATTAGTCACATCCGAGGGAAAATTATCCCACTGCGTATGGCCTAATGTATACTTTTATATACGTCGCTGCTTATTACTTATCGCACGTGATATTTATGTTTCACATTTAGGTGATGCTCGAAAGTTGAAACAAAATTAGTACGCGTACACTGCTTGGTTTGCAGATACGTGTCTGTATTAAAAATTAATTTAAATTAGGTTCTTGTGGTTGAGAAATTCATCTCACCAAACAGAATTAGCTGTGAGACTCTAGTTTCAGGTTTAAGTTTGGTTTACTATTTGAAGATCGTGGACCGGTTATTAAGAAAATTTCTCAAAAAGTTATATGAAAACTGATGAGAAGACTCGGATTCAGTATCATAAAGATTAGACTTTAATTATCATCAACTCATGAACATATAGGAACAGATCACCAAGCGTACAAGATGTGAAAGTTGACTGAAATTTTCATAAAAAAGAGAGATTTGATTGTACAAAAGATACAATACAAAATCTCATCTTATACAGTTACAGAAAAATAACAACAAGAATCTATCTTAAACCCAAGGCCGAGTAACAAACAAAACGATCATTACAATTTACACGTCTTCGTTATCTTGTTCGTGATTGTCTTCTTCGGTCTCTCCGCCTTCTAAAATCGTCTCAAGAATTGGAGAAACCGATGGCTTCGCCGGAGATATTATCTGTGGAGGAACAGCCTCCATCCACCACGCCACATCCACATCCACCTTCACCACCGTCAGATTCTTATCGCACCGGTTGTCAAAGTAACACATTCTCGATTCTATCGATATTGTTTGAGATTTGTATACAAGTAATTCAAAATGATTACTTTTTGAGTTTGATACGTGTTATTTTACTCGTATATATAGAGAGATTGACGTGTGAAGAAATGTGGAATAATGATAGGTTAGACGTGAGAGTCGGACAAGTGGACGATCCACAATGTTGAAGTTAGTTTGTTGACTTGGTCTTATTTGCTAATAATAATGGAACCAACAAGAATATTCTAGAACCTTTTGTTGTCGTTATCAACAAGTGTCGAATGTGTGTTAGTTTCTAGTCTCTATCGTTGCTAAGATTTTTTGTTGTTGTTGCCAAGTTAAGATATTTCTTTATGCGTCGTATATTGCAAAATACCAGATCTTTTTTTGGGGACATTGTTATCAGACAAACACACACACTTTGGGTTTGAAGTTTCTCAGCAATTGTGTATGTAGATGATGCTTTGGACAAATTACACTACTCTACAAATTAGTAAGATGTGTTCATCTTGGGTTTCTATCACGTGACACAGTTTTTTTTTTTTGGTCACCAAAACACGTGGCTCAGTTAAAACTTGTTAACACGGTAACGTTTGAAGCAGACTAGAGATTTAATAAGGCCCACGTTAAAGTATCATGGGCTCGTTCATAAATTTAGTTCTTATTGGGCTCTCAACACCAGATCTTAATATTTGATAGGGAGCATGAGATCAAATGCTTAGTATATGAGAGTTATGAAACTAAGCCCAGAGGCATTTTAATCACCGTATGCATTGAGGAAAAAAAAATAAAAAATCACCATATGCACAGTGGCCACTTCTCGTCAATTAATGGATTCCTCATTCCGGCTGTTTTATTGATTTCTTTGGGTTTTTTTTTTTCTTTTGGGTGCAATTCGATAAAAAAAAAATGTACCTAGAAAACAAAACAAAAATTGAGAAGGTAAAAAAACGGTACATATACGTAATTATTGTAAGTAAGACGAATTTCTACGCTGAAAAATTGAAAGAACTAGACAACTTTTTGGTGATGACAAAGAAAAAACATCTTATTCTTTTTGGACTTAAATCGGTGGAAAACATGCCACATGCAAATTTAATCAAACATTATAAAGCTCTATTAGCAATCAATTATCAATTGATATAAATATAAGATGCATTAGCTTTCTTTATATAATTAGAAAATTAGTCAATGGCCTGAAAAGGATTGGATAAGATAAGGATATTTGAAAAGGTTGCTTTCATTATTCTTGCAATTTCCCCCTTATTTTAGTTTTCTTAACTTATTGATTTTATCCCTCTCTTTTTTTTTTTAACCCGTGATATTATAACATAAGATGCAAATGCAATGCATGACAAAAATATAAATAATAACTGAATAGGTAGGTAACCATGTTGTCACTAGACGATTCGATATTGTACATAGAAGATTAATCTATTTTTAAGGAATTATTGGCATCTTATGATCGAACATGTCACCTAAAAAAAGTGAGCTTATCACATCGCATAAATTTTTCACAAAATATTCTCACACTAATTTTTTAATGTATGTCAGAATAATGTTTCATCAATCGAGAATAAGGATTAGATATCACTAGCTAAATATGACAAATTTAACAAAAAAAAAAAAAGCTAAATATTACAAACGGAAAAAGTTATTTTCTTATATATATTTTTTGATTACCGAAATTACTATATGCTTGTATAGTTGTATAGGGTGGTCCAAGATAGGTCTACCGGTTAATTGCTTTTTTTTTTTTTTTTTTTGTCGACAATTGCTAATTTTCTTATTATTCTGTATTTGTTATAAAAACACAAGATGATATCATCATTTGTTCTAACATAACGAAATTAAAAGTCTGAATTAAATGGAAATCGGTTTAGTAAACGACAAACTAAATCAACCATGTCATGTGTTTTGTTTTCTGATTTTTGTTCAATTTTTTCAAAATAATTTTCTTGATATCCAAAGATGGATGGACTAGTTGGCTTTTAAGTCCATTTTTAGAACATAAATAATAAATTATATATAGATTTTGTTGTTAAAGAACATATACATAGATAGTAGATACAATACGTAGCTGATCATTTGACAAATGTGGTGAAAAAAAAAAAAAAAAAGATCATTTGACAAATGTATATGACATTTTCCAACAATAATAGAAATCCCAAAAATTATAAAATATGCAACTAACAAGTAAGATTACGCTTTGGCAAAAAAAAAAAAAAAAAAAAAAGAACAAGTAAGATACGATCATATGGCTGAAGCGAGCAATGAGGATATAGGTATTAATGAGAAGAAGATTTAAGAAGCTCGATTATTAACATAGCTACATGCATTATTATCATTTGTTTTTTTCTTGGTACTTGTGTTTTGTTTTGTATCTCAAAGCTCCAATTATGTAGAGGTCATCAACTAAATAATTAATCAATTGGTCACACTACTCTATTATTTAAATTGCAATTGGTTCAACAGAGACGATCTTTTCTTTAACAATTATTTTATGGTAAAATTTCACAAACTTCATTAATTTAGTTGTAATTAAAACAATAAAAAAGGAGTATGCGTAGTGTGACAAAGGAAATAAAAAACACATACAAGACTCGAAACTATTTATGACTTCTTTGTTTTAGTAAGCTGAAGTGATATATCAGCTCAATTATATGTGCATATACAATAACAAATCCACAATTTCAGCTCAATTAATGTCTACGTGCATGGATACATCTTCTATACTATCATGTTTAAAAGTGTTTTATAGAATTGACATATGTATTATAAACAACTAATTATATATATGAATCTAGAAATATTATTATGGATTACATATTCACCTATTTCACAGCTATTAGCCTACTATCATCATATCTGTAATGCATTGGTCATTTATGTTTATTGTTTACAATAATGGCAATGAACGTCTATACAAAATATTTATTAAAACAAAAAGTAAATGTCCTTATATATAAGACCCTAGCTAGAAAATTTATTCGAGTCCCCCACATGTTTTGTTATGTTCAGATTATTGTCCAACAGATTTACCAATTATAATATGTTTTCCTTTTTTCTGTATAATATCATCTACTTTGTTTGTTGGTTATTGCATTTTCATTTTGTCCATCATGCATTTGATAAATTATCATTATTTCATAACAATGTACCCACCGTCGTAAATATCTGGTGTCTTTTGTCCATTTTCGTCTTTTCAACATCAAGAGAATGGAAATTTTTGGGGACCTGAGTGACGTGTCGAGATATTGACGCCTGAAACATCCGTAATTTCAAAATGAGATGAGGTCCAGTGGGCCAACTTATGTTGACAAGTGATCTCTCACCTATTATTGGCCCACCTATCCTTTTATTATCAGAGGTGTATTTAAATTAAATTATATTTCTATTTTTGTATTACTATAATTTAAGCAGCTGAACACAAAAATAAATATATACATATTTTTTAAAAAACATTATGTTTTTGTTTTATCTTGATATATGGTTGACAAAAATACAAATATTGATAACGAAAATGAGTCATTGTGGCTGTCAAAAAAAAAAAAAAAAAAAAAAAAAAGAGTCATTGTGGAAACAAAAAATGAATCCCACAATTGCTATTAACAGTGTATCTATTTTGAGGGTAGAATAATTTAAGTAAACAAGTCATGTCCCTATTAGTCCACGTGAAGTAATCTGACGTGTCAACTTTATTTACTGATTAAGAGGTATAATAATCCGACGTGTCATTCAGCTTTGGACAATCCAATAATGTGTGCACAGAGTTTGGGCCATGTTCCTCTGTGGACAATCCCACTAATATGTCTTTTCAACAATACACACTACCACAACACTGTTATATTTATTATAAAAAAATAAAAAAATAAGCAATAAACATAACTGAAGTTTTTGGATTATGGAACGAATTCAATTGGATATTTTCTATGGTTAACAGATTTTTATTTTGAGCAAACTTTTTTATTTGTATTTCTATGGGTTTCTAAAACAATGGAAGAAATGATTTCAAGTGTCCATCAACTGGTCAAATCAATTTCTTTATTTAAGATATTGACAGATCCATTCACATCAAATGTATGTAGTTCCGGTTATAGAAATATTAGTATCACCGGTTTATTCTTTCTCTTTTCCTTCAAAAGATAACCGGTTAGTTATGGTCTAATACAATCCTCATACAGCGTATTCAGTCTTGGTTCATTGCCAGATTAACCTTGGTTTAGTGTTAACAAATTAAATAAGCTGGTCAATAACAGAGAGATTATTATTTGCTAATTTACACACAAAAAAAAAAACTCTATTGACCGTCTAAAGTGACGTAAGCATCCTTAAGAAGTCGCTGTGCTTCTTCTCTTCTCCTGCACACAACCAATACATCAAACGGACCCATAAGAACTACCAAAAAGCTTCTGAAGAATCTTTAAACAGATGATAGATTGATATTGGCACACCATTAAGAAGGAAAACTTAAAAAAACATATACAAACCTCTTAATGTCCTCCACAGCTTGTTTCCTCCGTTGAATTTGAAGTTCCATAATGTGAATAAGCGTTGCTCTCGCCTGGACATAAGATAAGATCAAAAACAATAAAACAAAAACCGATGAAACCATGTTGTAGTTAAAACGAAGATGAGATCTTCTTTACTTGGTGAGGTCTCAAGGAATTGAGAAGGTGATGCAAATTCTTGAAGATTGAAGAAATTTCACCAATCCTCTTTGCATATTGAGAAGGTCTATCAACAAGAACATCAGCAAGCTCCAATATATGTAACTGTAGTTCTCTATTCAGTGACCTGAGTTCCTTCTTATAATCTACACAAAGATATTTAAAAACTTTCTTCAACGAAACAAAGAGGCACTTTCAAAGAACATAACTTGCAAATGAGCTCATGATTCCAATTAAGGGACTGAACAAAACCATACACAAGAAAGCCAATAGCAATTGCATTTTGAGAATGATTCACAAAGCTAGAAGAAATGACATACCAACATTAGAATCTTTGGGATAAAGTTGAGGCACTCCTTGTTCTTCTAAGCTTGGAAGAACATCCTCTGTCTACTAACCCAAAGAATTGTTAAAACCCATAAAGATGAAGATTTTAAAGAGGGGAAAATGTGAAGGAATCTCTCACAGTATAGTTGCCTCCGAAACAAACGTAGGTGCCTTCAATGGGAGGAGGAGGTTCAGGAGCAGAATTAGGGTTTTCTGAGTAATCCTTGTAGAGTCTGTAATACGGTGGAGGAGGTGGATACGTAGCTGTAGCCATTATTCTCTACAGATCCAAATCACAAACTAAGCAAAATCAGCAACAGATTCCTAAAATTAGGGTTTCTAATCGATGCAACGGACGATTCAATCCCAAATCTAAGACTTTACTCGAATGATTCTGAGGGAAGTATGTAACAAATTAAAGAGAGAAACTAGGGTTTAACATCGACACGAACCTTTTGGGGAGCGAAGAAGCTTTGATCTTGCTTTGGAGAAGACGGCGCAGAGCAAAGAATGACAAAACGAGAGTTTTGGTTTTCTCGTAAATCTTCGGGTTACGGGTTCAGACGGTTTGAATAGTTCCGGTTTGGTTTCAGTTTACTTAAGACAATGGCTTTTTTCAGTTTAATTCGATTTCTGATGTTTTGATGTGATTAATCACCCCCACTAATGATTTTATTCTTAAGTTGGTACATTTACTTGATAATAGATCAATTTTTTTTTGTTTTGTATTCTAGATTTTTAATTTAATTTAAATATAAATTAACAAAAATCCTTAATTGAATACTAATAAATTTAAAAACATTAGCAACAAATTTCATACTTATCTAACAACATTAAATCTTAAGATAACTTAAATTTAATTAAAGGTGAAGGTAAAAATTCCATTAACATCATCATTTTGATCACAAACTCATAATTCATAAAGTTTTTACTATTTAAAAAACAATGGACGAAGGAAACAAAGGAAGAGAGCTCACGATAAGAACGTGAGACTTGCCACACCTTATAAACTTATTTATTTATTTTCTTTCTCTTTTTTATCTTCTTTGTCCTTTTTGTCGTTTACTGTGTAAGTCATAACTCACATAAGTTTAACCCAATGAGAGCTTATCTCTTTACCACATTTCTCTATAAAAATGATGATCACAACACATTTCTCCTTCAATCACAAAATTTCACAAAACCCTTTCAGAATTTCTCGACAAGCTGATCAAAACCCAGAATTCAGTTTTCATAAAAGTTACATCTTTTTTTTTTGTTCCTTCTCTTTACGTACGCTCTGTTTTCATCAATGGCGTCAAGGAAGCTTTTTTTTGTCAAGCCTAAATACATATATCCAGAACCAGAACCAGAGATGTCCGATGAGAATGTCTTTGAATTCGACGAATCTGATATTCATAACTTAGGCGATCATCAATTGCCGAATTCATTCGACGCTAAGAGATCGATATCTATCTCTCGATTAAGGAGAAAACCGGCGAAAACCGGAGATTCCGTCGGTTCTGGAAACCGGGAAATCACAAAGACCGGTTCGCTTCCGGTTAATATCCCCGACTGGTCTAAGATCTTGAAGAGTGAGTATAGAGGTCATGCGATACCTGACGATGACAGTGATGATGATGACGAGGAAGATGACGACATCAACGACGGTGGAAGACGGATCATTCCGCCGCACGAGTATTTAGCGCGGCGGAGAGGATCGTCGTTCACGGTGCATGAAGGAATCGGTGGAACGGCGAAAGGAAGAGATCTAAGGCGATTGAGGAACGCTATTTGGGAGAAGATTGGGTTTCAAGATTAATAATATATTAAGTATGTAATTAATTATAACTCTATAGGTAATCTATGAATTACTTAGATCTTAAGGAAGGACTTCGTGTTTTTAATTAGGGGGTTTAGAGGATCGTTATCGTTTCGGTCCGAAGGAGGATTTTTCCCATATCCTTTTGACTTTTTTTCTCTCTTTCTTTTTTTTTTTTTAAAAAATATTTCTTTCTTGTCTTTTTTTTTTTGGTTTGGAGTTTTTGATCATCGACTATTTTTCTTTTTCTTTTTTTGGATTTGATAAATAAAATTTTATATTGTTTTCTTTCAAATATGTTGAATTTTGGTTGTTGTGTGGTTACTTAGCTTCCTTAAATTTTTACATAAATCCACAAAGAAATACGTCATAAAAAGCAATTAATAGTCAAATACTAAGTGGTCAGTAGTAAAAGTTAATCATGAAAGTAATATTATAGCATTTACTAAACGATATAATATATACACACAAAAATATTCATTATTGAACGAAGGTGACCGGGACAAAACCAAGTTTTTGTTCATATTATTCGTTTGTTACTATATCACAATTAAACAAAAGGAAACAAAATATGAAGAAGATAAACGACTGCTAAATATCTATTGAACTCGTTGAAGAGAGAATTTGTAGATAACAAAGCTGGATTGAGTTTTAGTTCAGATATGTTAATTTTCGATCAATAATAATCCAAAAACCAACTAACTAACAAAAACCGGATTAGTCACTACAACAGTTTACTAAATTCTTCACAAAACATCTCTTCAAAGTTTGAAAACCTTAATAGTCATATATCAAGTGTCAGTGTGTCACGTCTTTTGAAAGCCGTAATTTGAACCATAGTTTGGCTGTAAACGATAGGTTATAAAAGTCTTCAGCTCGATATGATGTGTTTCATTTCACAAGAATCAAAGATAAAGCTTAATTACATTTTAAAGTTGATGTGATATTTACTTTCTTAATATTTGCTAGAAAAAACGTATAATGACACATCGATGAAGTTATAGTCATTTCTATTTCTGTTGTCTCCCACTTTCTGCTATGCTTTTGCAACAACCGTTCAAGATTTGGAATCATTTTCTTTCTCCACCAATCATATATAAGACTTCTTTTTGTTTGTTGAAATTTTGCAAGATTCTCTTTTCCAATACGCATTTTCTTTTCAAGCTTTCAATCAAAAACTCACTAAAAGTTGCATATGCAAACACAAAATTGTGTGATCAAAGTTCGTTACTGAGTTTTTTTGGTTCTAAAACAAAGGTTTGACATATAAAAGATAAACTCAAAACATATGCAGTAACGCAAAGAAGACAATTCAAGAGTTGGGAAAGCAATGTAGTTTGGTAAGCATTAAACAAAAAAACATGAGCCATCAAAATCGTATGGGATTATGTTGAATGTGGAGATGTGGCAATCACACTATTGCACACAAAGATGCAGTCAAGTGGCAAACAAGCGGCGCCCTTAGTTTGGTACAAAGAGAGACAATTGTTTTGGACTGTTGGTGTTGCCATATTCACAAAAATAGTATTGAGTTATGTTAAATACTAGATATTAACCCGCGGTACACCGCGGGCTTATAATTTTACTAAATAATAAAATTAAAATTTTTTAAGATGATCTATAGATATATATTATTATTTTGTTTGATTTAAATGTATGGTACACCGACGATATGTTATAACTAAAAAATTAAAATTAAAATTTTTATTCGTTTTGCTAATATTGTTTGTTTAGTTTTGTTTAGTGTTTAAGAATTAAGATTGTATAGTTATATTTTGATTGTCAATTCTAGGATTTTACCTGTAGTATATCATACTGTATTAATATCGACCCAACCTCGTCCGACCATATAAACATGTCCCGTGAAATCTACATCATTTTGTCATTTTCTAATAAAATAATATCGACCCAAAATTCAAATAGTCTTTTGATTGTTATATTTAGGATTTCACCCGTAATATACCGTTCCGTATTAATATCTTTTGTAAATATTTATAATGTTTAAATTTCTTAGAATTTCCTTAAAACTCAAATATTTATTTTATTTGAAAGTTTATAAAATTCTTAAAATTATAATTTAAAATAAAAAGAAAATTAACAATATTGAATATGTATTCATATTTTGTATTATTAGTTAATGTGAATATAGATAAAATATATATTTTTATATAGATAAAGTTTTTTTTATATTAACTAATAGATAAAAAATTGTAGTAATGGCATTCTCTAGGATTTAACCCGTAGTAGAACACAAACAAAATTATATTTATGCATTTTGTATCATAAATAATATAACATGGTATTACAATTTTCTCAATTATAAAATTTTGAAGTATTATTAGACTGATAAATAGAGGAAATAAGTGTGATGTATAAATAGCCCAACCCAAGCAAAGTAGTAGCTCAAAATGGCCCAACTAATTGCCGTAGGTAGAAGCGGTACCGTCGAGGCAAAAAAGAAGTGAGAAGAAGAGAGTCGTGACCATGATGCTTGATGCAGTCAAGAGAACCATGACCATTTTTATTCTCTTTTTCGATTTTTGTTTCGATTGTAAAATTATACACAATGGATCAGTAGTAGGACCAAGCGATCCATCAAAGTGCTCCATTGAAGTTGATGAGAGGTACAAAGGGTGTCCAAAGATCTTTCCAGAACTGGCAAGCACGACCGTGATGAATAGCTACATATGATATGGGACGCTCATTTAATATAGATCTTTTGTTCTTCAGGTATTAATTTCCTTCTTCGATTTCATAAGCATGCTTTGGTTTTGATTTCCAAAGAATCTTTAATCGATTAGTATTTGCTAATAATTGTTCATGCTTATGAAATCGAATCTTTCGTCCTTAATTAGGGAATAGAAGAAGAATCCCACATAGATGATGAAAGTGGGAATCGAGGTACTAAAAGCAAAGTTAGGCAAAGGTAATTTTGATTTCAAAGTTCTAAAATTTCCAATTTCTTTGCGTAATTACATTTACACATCTTTGAATGCAAATTTAAAATTAGATTATCAAACTAAAAATATATGAAACTATAACTATGGCATTTGTTTATCATTTTAATAGTGAATCCCACCAGCCACACTAATTCTACTAATTAGATAAAGTGAAGAGAGATGCCCGATGGAGAAAAGGTGGCCTGCGTTACCAGAGCTTCCGGTTACATAGTGTCTTGAATGTCAAGCTTTTACTCCTCCGTGGCTACAACGTCAATGCCACCATTCAAGTCCCAAGTTTGGTCCTATATGAAATTACTAAGAATGCAGAAACATCAAAGAAAACAAAGGTGAGTATAATGGTTTAAAAGTAAGCTGTGGTTTTTGGTGTTTGGTGATGTTTATTAGCGTTTAGGTGTAGATTATTTATAGGCTCAACATTAGGTCGATATCCGTAGCTTATCACGCAAAACAAAAATCCTAAATAGCAACTAATTAAGGATAAAATCTTTCAAATCTACAGTAATATGGAATATGCCAAGAATATGGTAATTTATGAGTCATAATTTTTTTTTATCTTATATCGATTTTGTAGAGATATTAGAGATATGATGAGTGATTAGTTGCAAGAATATATACTGGAATCTTGCTTTTGGAAAGAAAACGTATAGATTTTTAAACAATGCATCATTAGTTTGTTTATGAAATTGTATTGTTAGAGATCTTGTTGATTTGAAATATCCAAAAAGATTTGTTGGTAGTAATTAAATTGATTTGTAAGGGATTGTAAATTATAGAAAGTATTCAACGACAATTAATGGAGATATTTGAGAGAATGATTGTTATTTCCTAAATCTTTTAGTTGATATTTAAAAAGTAATTAATTTCATTTTAAATATATTATTTTTGGCAGGAAATAACAAATAACATATAAATAGGATACAATGAGATAAACAAATATGGTTAGTTTACAAAATCTCATCGTTGAGACAGAATTGAATATAAACGAATTGAATGTGGCGGAAATTGTGGATTCAATTAAAGAAGAGAATATATATGGAGGTGTGATAAGAAGTTAAGGAAATTAACGAATATGGTTAATAAAAGAATTAATTGTAGTCTTAACGAATATGGTTAATAAAAAGAATTAATTGTAGTCTTAACGAATATGCGAAATAATAGTTTAGTAGAGGGAAACACATATTTGGAAGGAATTTAAATTGACAGATACAAAAAATAACTTTGTTGCAGATTGCATTGGCGAAAATAAAGGAACAATATACACTTAAGGAATGTGAGAAGTTATTTGTTTTGATTTTCGTAAAAATGGAGTTAATCAATTAGGTATGGTAAATGCTAAGTATCCGGAGATGATTAATATGGAAATAGTATAAGAATAAGTAGATGAATTAAAGACAACATGGCTTCATTTATCAGTTTGAAATTAAGACAACATCCCTAAAATTGCTTATCCAAGATCCGAATAGATTAAAACCGGGTCAAATCTAGATCCAAAAGAATTTATGCAAAAATCCCAATGTAGATTAACGTGACAAAATAGTATTGAGTTACGTAGTAGTGACCAAAAAAGTCTAATATGTATAAACATATACATCTGTTTTAAGTATTTTCTTTAAGTTCCTTATATTTTTTTTTGTCTAGTTCTTTTCTTTTTACTGCTTCTTCATCTTATTATGTAGAATGAATACGTCCTTTTTTTTTTTTTTTTTTTTTTTTTTTTTTTTTTTTTCAGCCGCCGCTCTCTCCTTTTCGCTTTGGTGGCATCACTTCCGTTCAAGCTTTGACCGGCGCGTGGTGGCTTTCAAAGCACCGGCGTCGGTCCATCTTTCTTAGCTTTCGTCTCTAGTTTATGTTCTCTTTTGGCTGAGGTTAGGTGGTGGTTCGACGAGTTTCTGAAGCCTTTCGATTTCAGATCTGCAACGTCTTGGTCGGGGTTACTTTTAATTGATGGATCTGGAGTTTATCGGAGAGGTGGTGATGTCTCTGCGTTTATTTATGGATCTATGGGATCCTTTGCTACGGTGGTTGTTGATGGACATCCTCGACGGTATGGTCTCCTTCCCCTCCCTATTCGGATCTGAACTCATGTGACTTAGTCTCGTTGGCCCATTGGACTACTTTAGGTTTTGTTGTTGTTTGTGAGACTTATTTCGTTGGAGGTGGCTCAGTTAGTTGTGGGGTTTATTTGTGGATCTGTGCTCTACCTTTCTATTGTGTCCTCTTGCTTGGTCGTGGTAGTGATTTGGGCTGGTTCGTTTTTGGTGTTGACCAATCTGATGGAATTTTGCTGCCGAGCCACCTACTAGCCTGTTTTCCTTGGATATAGGTTATGGGCAAAGCAGTGGAATCGTTCTCTAGCTCTTCTCTTGCGAGGACGTCGTCAGTTTTTTGTCCGTAGGTGGCTGAAGCTGGTTCGACGAGTGTCCGCGTGCAAGAGCTGTTTTTCTTAATTGGTTTATCTCCGGTCGATCTTCAAGGTATATGCCTTGTTCCTAGTGTGTTTTGCTCTCTACGTCTGGCTGGTGAGGTGTGATGGTAGTTGTATTTGTGTCTCTGGTCTTGGTGGGTTCTTGCTTTCCTCCCTGTCGGTTTGCTACAAGTTTGACTTCGGTGTGAGGTCTTCCGATCTTATTGGTGCTTCCGACGTTAACAGGTTCTTTGGGAAGCTAGGTGAGACGCTCTGGTTCCTTTGTTCAAATAGTGCTTGGATTTCATATTTTCCTTCGCAGTTCCTCCTCTTTACATATTTGTCTCTATCGTTTGCTTAAATGGTTGGTCTAAATTAGCTTCCCCGTTCTGTTGGGGCTTTGTTTCCCTCTTTTGGACTAAGTTTCTGGAGACATTCTGTTCGTCTGCCGGCATATGTATTTCAACTTGTATCCTACTTTAGTTTCTTAATAAAATTTAGATGACAAAAAAAAAAAGAATACGTCCTTTTTTCTTAGAATTATCAGTCTATTAGAAATATTGCATTTTATTTTCATTTTAAATATCTTTTTCTCTGCTTAAATTCATTATTTTTAGTATATTAAAATCATTAACTTTGTTGGAAAAAATAATATGTTACGAAATAACTTCAACTTTGATATTTAGTTTTTTTTTTTTTTTTTGTCGACGAAATTCTAGATTAATCGTTAAGTCAATAACAACACCTTAATCTCTTTGTTCCACACTGGTAAAGAAAAAAATAAGTTGTATTATGATCTCACATCAAACTCGTCATATGTAAAGAGCAAAAATCAATGTTTAAAATGCACTTGGATTATTATTGAAAGTTGAAAGACAAAGGCCCGTTACGAGCCCAACCAAAAGTTCATAAGAACATACAAGAAAAGCAGACGATGAAACTTAAAACAACTAAAGGGACAAGTTTTTCCCGCAGATGGAAACAGAACCAAACCAGGTGAAGAACATCACATCATCACCTCCCAAGTGCATGACACAGAGAACCGCCACTTTTGATCAGATCACAAAAGCTTAGAAGCTTCCACCACGAAGACGGAGAACCAAGTGAAGAGTGGACTCCTTCTGGATGTTGTAATCTGCAAGAGTCCGACCATCCTCAAGCTGTTTTCCAGCGAAGATGAGTCTCTGCTGATCCGGAGGGATCCCTTCCTTGTCCTGAATCTTAGCCTTGACGTTATCAATTGTGTCTGAGCTCTCAACCTCCAGGGTAATAGTCTTGCCTGTCAATGTCTTCACAAAGATCTGCATACCACCACGCAGACGCAACACAAGGTGAAGGGTAGATTCCTTCTGAATGTTGTAATCAGCTAAAGTCCGACCATCCTCAAGCTGTTTACCAGCGAAGATGAGCCTCTGTTGGTCTGGTGGGATCCCTTCCTTGTCCTGAATCTTAGCCTTGACATTATCAATTGTGTCTGAGCTCTCCACCTCCAAAGTTATGGTCTTGCCGGTTAGGGTCTTCACAAAGATCTGCATACCACCTCTGAGACGAAGCACCAAATGGAGAGTAGACTCTTTCTGGATGTTGTAGTCAGCAAGAGTTCTTCCGTCCTCAAGCTGCTTACCGGCAAAGATAAGCCTCTGTTGGTCCGGAGGAATTCCTTCCTTGTCCTGGATCTTGGCTTTGACATTATCAATGGTGTCTGAACTCTCAACCTCGAGGGTAATTGTTTTACCAGTGAGGGTCTTCACAAAGATCTGCATACCACCACGAAGACGAAGGACAAGGTGAAGTGTCGACTCCTTCTGGATGTTGTAGTCAGCAAGAGTTCTTCCATCCTCAAGCTGCTTACCGGCAAAGATAAGCCTCTGCTGGTCCGGAGGGATTCCTTCTTTGTCCTGAATCTTTGCTTTGACGTTGTCAATAGTGTCAGAGCTCTCAACTTCCAAAGTAATGGTCTTGCCAGTCAGAGTCTTGACAAAGATCTGCATACCACCTCTTAAACGAAGAACCAAGTGGAGGGTTGATTCTTTCTGGATATTGTAATCGGTCAAGGTACGACCATCTTCTAGCTGTTTACCGGCGAAGATTAATCTCTGCTGGTCCGGAGGAATGCCTTCCTTGTCCTGAATCTTTGCCTTAACATTGTCGATGGTGTCAGAGCTCTCAACCTCGAGAGTGATGGTCTTGCCAGTGAGTGTTTTCACAAAGATTTGCATCTGAAATTAAAAAAGAGAACACGTAAAAATCGATCAGGGAACATATACCAAAGAGAAAACGGATTTAAACACAAGAACCCAAAATCAAAGAGAATCGACAAAGAAAACACAAAATTGAATAGATCGTTATAGAAAACCCTAATTTCCTTAAGAGAATTTCAAAACCAAGCAAGAAATTGAACAGATCTAAACGATATGCTTCATAAGAGAAAACGCAAGAAAGATGGAATATTTCAACAACATGCAAATCTGACGAGCAACTAATAGAGATTCTTAGTAATCGACATAAAATAAAGAAGCTGGGATTGAAGAAACGAGCAGGTAATTTTCGAAAATCAAATTATTGAAAAATCCAATCACCCAAAAATCCAAAATCGAAGATCAAAAAAGAAAACCAAATCCAAAGATCAGACGCCAAAACCCAGAAGAAACGAATCAGAAGAAACATATACCTTGAAAGAGAGAATCGTTAAAGATTATGCTGAGCGATTTAGGGTTTGTGAGAGATTGAAGAGTCAGAGAAAGAGAGTCAGAGAAAGACGAAGGGGATGAATTAAGATCTTTCGCAAGGTCTTGTTTTATACAGCAAACCAAAAGGCCAAAACCGTCTTTTAAAGTAATTAGAATAAATATCAGCTGAGGATTATCATCACGAAATTAAAGGAAGGAAGCATATGATACGTGTCATATTTTTTACCGTTCGTTTTTTAAAGACCGACTCAACTAGAAACATCCTATGGTGGTGGATGGATGACATTTGCTCCACTGGCATTTTTCTATTATCCTTTTTTGTATTTTCCTTCTCCTCAAACAATTTCTTTCTATTATATATAAGAATTAAATAAGGAAAAAGTACAAAAAATTATTCTTTTCATTAAGACTATGTCTTGGTTCACCCAACTCAATAAGAATAAGCAATCATCATCTTTGGAGGATACAATTACTATATTGATCTTTTCTATTTTAATTCTATGTTGATTATGATAGTTTCTCTTCTTATTTTCATAATTAAACATATCAATATTTGGCATTAAAGATTCTAATCTACTCTAATTAAGAAAAGAAAAAATGTATCTACCATTGACTAATTAAATTAAGGAAACTTATCTAACAAACTTACGTATCTTCGAGAACAAGCTTTTTGGTTTAATTCCAAAATTTTAAACCTAATTGTAGGAAAAAGGACCTAATTTTAAGAAAATTAAATAATTAGAAGATCTATATGTTTTTTTTTTATTATCTAAGTTATTGTCTTGTTTTTATTTTTTGATAAAATCTGAGTTTGTATCTTCAAACTAATGTTTTAACACTATTATTTTTTGATAAAATCTGAGTTTGTATCTTCAAACTAAATCTGAGGGACTAGATAGTCCGTATTGCTCACGTGTATAGGGAAGCTAGCCGTCTTGCTGACGGGTTAGCAAACTATGCGTTTACTTTACCATTAGGGTTTCATTTGTTTAATTCTAGATTAGATGCTTTAAATTCAATTGTTTTAGAAGATGCTATCGGGTCTGCGAGACTACGTAACATTCCCGTGTAGTCCGATTTTCTTTTTATTTTAATAAATTTGGGGAGACTCTCTTACCAAAAAAAACACTATTATTTACTTATTAAATAAAAAAATAAAAGATAATTTGTTTTTTTTTTTCTTTTTTTTTTTTGCCATCTATAAAAAATAATTTGTTGTTGCCGTATTAGACTGAAATTTCTGAAAGGCCGTACGTGTTGACTTGCTCTAGCCCAAAGAGGCAAAGACCATGCACTATCTCTCTAATCAAGAGTTAATGCTTAGAGCATGATTATAGGTGGGTTCTTAGAAATTGCTTTTAGCAATATTTAAGTAATTTATTTGTAAAAGTGATTGTTAAAAGATAGTATTTTTGAGTTAAGATTTTTGTGTGATTAATGGTAGGTTCTTAACATGTGGTTCTTAGAAAAAAATATTAATATAAAAATACAATTTATAATTATAGAAAATTTATTAATTGTTGCAAATTAAAAAAAAAATTAAAACATATATGAGATACAATTTATAACATAAATAACATAAACCACAAATGTTTTAAACTTGATTTCTCGATACCTCCAAAGACGATCTAGGTTCAATCTCTCGATACCTCCAAAGACGATCTAGCATATGTAAAGGCGATACCTCCGATTTGAGTCTCTGGTTTTCATTCTCTCGATGAAATCGCGAGAGAGAGAGACAGAACGCGAAAAAGACTTAAAAAAAAAAGCCCTTTTTTTTCCTTTCTCTTCATTTACCACGCTCCAATTTTTTCTCGACACCTGTCCGCCTCTTAGATGGAAAAATGTTTCTTAGCTAAGGAACGTTTGTTAGTGTTAAAGGAGTATATACATTAAATTTAATCAGTTTTATCCTAAGATTTCTCTAAGATTTACCTAACATCCTGCCTATAATCATGCTCTTATATTTCCTTAAAAGATTCAGATGGATACAACAACTTCCAAGCCCGTGATATGTCACGAAAGGATTATGTCTCTAACCATTGTTCTTATAACTTAGACAACAAGTCATTGTAAAATATACATGGAGTCTGAAGATGTTGGACGGACACTAGACCTATCAGTTCTCGATGAGAATTAGCCTTCCAAGGAGAACAAACTGGAGTTATTGTATTCTGTTCTTAGCAAACAAGAAATGTTTTTATCGCTTATGTGAGTCACTGAGACAGGTCGAGCGGATGATAGAAAGTTCGGATTGTTGAATGGGTAAAGGGTATATATATCGAATTGATCAGTATGCTAGACGGAACATTGTTTTTGTTGCAGTTTTTCGGAAAATAAATTCTTTGATCCGAATAAAAGAAAACAAAGGTTGCATTGTATCACAGTTAATTTTTCAATTAAGGCCATTTTTTTAAACACCGCTTCTGTTCCATACAACCCAAGGCACGGCTCTGGAGAGAGCCTTATTCTTCTTCTTCGCAAATTTATGTACTTGGGGCATATAGCCAGTAGTAGTGCAGTAGCGCGGCCTTCTGTTTTTAACTTTTTCGGGTCGCAACACAAGAGGTTCAACTACAAGAGTCATTCCTCCCATGTAACGTCCACTTAGTTTCAACGCCTTGCCTAGACATATTTCTCCATTAACATAAAGGTAAGCTGCGCCGGAGCTATAATTAACATGACAAGCTAGAACACATCTTATAGATATACAAGAATGAACATGCTAATAAATAATAATAATTTGATTGCAGAATGATAATATTATCAAAATTTACGTGTGTGTTTCTGTTGCCGCGCGGGAGCATCAGGACACCAAGGATCATCAATGAATACTTTCTTCTTTGGGTTTAGGCTTAACGATAGCAGTCCATCCTCCAACGTCAGTTCCACTAAGTTGCAATGCCTTTTCTTCGACATCTTCTCCCTCGATCCTCATGAAGGCAACACTGTAAAACCATCGATACAAAGACATGTCTTTTATTTTTTTTGGAGTTAGTACTTAGCAGAATTCAACATGAGAGCTGGGAGGGAAGAAGCCAACAAACCTCTTGAGGATTTTCCTTTCAAAGTCTTTGGGAACATAAATATTTGTGATCTTTCCGCATGAAGCGAAATGTTTTTCCAACACGAGTTTGAGAGGATACTCCTGAAGCGAAGTGTCATATCATTATTCAACGGAAATCGTCGTGCTAGTGCTACTGCAACAATTTGATTTTGATTGCAGGTGGAGTTAATATTATATATGATGATCAACACGTACGTACAACAAAAATTTCCCAAAAAAATATATAGGTAAATCAATTTACCGGGGAGTTTGAGAGTCTGCACCATTATCGTTCAATTCCAGCAATTTCAGACCCTAAGATACAAAAGATGTAATCAGAAATTCTACTATTTCATATATTTTTCTACTTTCTTGTGCAGAAAGAAACCATTAGTAGAGAGACGCAGAGGTTAAAGCAGAAGAAGAAGATTACTTTGATGGCTAATTCGTCCATGGATAAAGCGACTGCTAGGATCTAGGTCTGAACTAGGTTTTTTTTTTTCTTTTTTTTGTGTCGAATAAGCAGAAGGAGGTTTCTTTGTGTTTTTTTTTTTTGTTAATTCCCTTATTTTATTCTGGTTTGGGACATAATGCTTTGGTGTATATTATAGTTTCGAACAAATGGTTGGGCCTTGAATTTAGTTCAGGCCTGCGTTAAGCCCATATAATAACTCTCAAACAGAAAAATGTTGAACCGGAATAAACCCGCGAAATTAAATGCCGGTTTCCGGGTAAGAAGATGAAGATGAGGATTGAAGTATTCAAGAGGCGGAAAAATTGACAAGTCCAAGAGCTTAATTTTCTCCTCACTCTTCTGCTACAGACTCGGAACTCGTTCTCTTTGCTAAAATAAGATGATGAGGATCGTTGTTGTCCGACAATTCTTGTATCTCACACTCTCTCTCTCTCTTCTCTGTTGTTACTACTCTGTTTCCAACTCAAGGACTCAAAGATTGTTTTTCTTCCACAATGGCGTTTATGAGACTTGGCTCCAAATCCGAAGCTTTCCATCGTGAAGGCCAAACCTGGTACTCTTTCTTCTGCTTTTACCTCCTTGAATTTGACTAATCGACTTATAGGGTCTTTGAGATGGAATTTTCATCAATGTCGTTAATTTCTCTTGATTTTTATATGTATTCAAGCTCTCGTCTTTTTGTTGAAATCGAGATGGGTTCTTCCTAGAATCGTTAGTCATTGATGCAAGTTTCAAAGATCATCAATTTTTGGATTTTAGCTCTGATTTGTTTGTGACAAGTGTTCTGTTTTGTGTGATGTTTTATGTCTCTCGTCTTGTCTTACAGGCTTTGCACCACAGGACTCGTGAGTGATGTTACCATTGAAGTTGGAGACATGAAGTTTCATCTCCACAAGGTTAACTTTTACTATCTTCTCTTTCTTTTTTTTGAGTACTAGATTTTATGTAATTGCATAAATGTGAAAGCTTTGATGATTAAACTAGGTTGTTTCCTAACTGTGTAATGTTTGTCTTGATTTGTGTGTAGTTTCCGCTGCTCTCTAGAAGTGGGCTTCTTGAGAAGTTAATCGAAGAGTCTTCAACTGATGATGGATCAGGCTGTGTGTTGAGTTTAGATGAGATACCGGGAGGCGGCAAAACGTTTGAGCTTGTAACCAAATTCTGCTATGGTGTGAAAATCGAGCTTACTGCTTTCAATGTTGTTAGCCTTAGATGTGCAGCTGAGTACCTTGAGATGACTGATAACTATGGAGAAGGGAATCTTGTTGGTATGACTGAGACTTTCCTCAACGAGGTGTTTGGGAACTGGACTGACTCGATCAAAGCTCTTCAGACATGTGAGGAAGTGATTGATTACGCTGAAGATCTTCACATTATCTCTAGGTGTGTTGATTCGTTAGCTGTCAAAGCGTGTGCTGATCCAAGCCTTTTCAATTGGCCCGTGGGAGGAGGAAAGAACGCAACGAGTGGGCAGAACACTGAAGATGAATCGCATTTGTGGAACGGAATCTCTGCGTCTGGAAAGATGCTGCAACCTACCGGTGAAGATTGGTGGTTTGATGACGCTTCTTTTCTTAGCTTGCCTCTCTTCAAAAGACTCATTACCGCTATTGAAGCACGTGGCATGAAGCTCGAGAACATCGCGATGGCGGTTATGTACTATACAAGGAAACATGTTCCTCTGATGAATAGACAAGTAACCATGGATGAGCAAGTGATTGAGACACCAAATCCTTCTGAAGAAGACCAAAAATCTTGTCTTGAAGAGATTGTCGGCTTGCTTCCGAGCAAGAAAGGTGTAAACCCGACCAAGTTTCTTCTCAGGCTTCTTCAAACTGCAATGGTGCTTCACGCAAGCCAATCCTCGAGGGAGAATCTGGAGAGACGAATTGGAAATCAACTGGACCAAGCTGCTCTAGTTGATCTTCTTATACCAAACATGGGATACTCTGAAACGCTTTATGATGTTGAATGCGTTCTGAGAATGATCGAACAGTTTGTTTCGTCAACCGAACAAGCAGGCATCGTCCCTTCTCCTTGCATCATCGAAGAAGGACATTTGGGGAAGGATGGAGCTGATTTGCTAACTCCAACAACGTTAGTGGCAACTCTTGTTGACGGTTATCTCGCTGAGGTGGCACCCGATGTTAACCTGAAGCTGGCGAAGTTTGAAGCCATTGCTGCTGCAATCCCTGACTATGCAAGGCCACTAGATGATGGAGTTTATCACGCAATCGACGTGTACTTGAAGGTAATAAAAATGCTGTTTTTAATTTTAACCAGTCCATGTATTAAGATTTTGAGGTTGGATTGCAAATTTTGCAGGCGCATCCGTGGATTACGGATTCAGAGAGAGAGCACATATGTAGACTCATGAATTGCCAGAAGCTCTCATTGGAAGCTAGCACACACGCGGCTCAGAACGAGAGGCTGCCTCTTCGGGTGATTGTTCAGGTTCTCTTTTTCGAACAGCTTAGGCTCAGGACATCTGTATCGGGCTGGTTCTTTGTCTCTGAGAATCTAGACAACCCCGATAACCAACATGGCGCTAATGGCGGTTTTAAACCCAGAGGTGAGAACGTAAGAGAACGGGTTTCTGAGCTGGAAAAGGAGTGTATGAACATGAAACAAGAGCTGCATAAGCTGGTGAGGACGAAGAGAAGCTGGAAGAATTTTACCAGGAAGCTTAACTTCAAGAAGAAATCAGAATGCTGCAAGCCCAAGGATCAAGCAACACCAGCAATTTGAGCAAAATCCTCTGTTTTAAGGCAGAACTACTAGTATTCTCTTCTCGGTTAGATTAGCTTTGTTTTTCTGGTTCTTGATGCTACTCTGTTTTCAAAAGTTTTCATCTTTCTCTTAGTATCTCGCTAAGAGTTTTGATGCTTTTTAGATAAAACAAGAGCTCTTGTCGGAAAACATTAATTTCATTTCTTATGCAATTTCGGGGTGTATTGTGTTGTGCAGCCCCACAGGAAACAATCTCAGACACAAATCAACAGAAGGGAAATACAATCAATAAAGAATATCATCAGCGAAACTTTACAAATAGGACGAAGAATCAGAGTAGTGTTCCGATCTCAGATTCTTAACAGGACGGATAGTCTTTAGGCGGTGGTAGAACCGAAAGCTCAGGTGTTTTCCCGTTCTCGACGACGAAAGCCATCTTCAAACCCCACATTGTATGGACTTCCAAGTGACAGTGCATAAACCAAACACCTGCAACAACACATGCATTGATCACTTGATCTACTTATCATATTATGATCATCATCCTCATATATGTGCACTGAGAGATTGATTTATACCTGGATTATCAGCCCTGAATCTGATGGCAGCCCAACCACCGGTGGGTACTCCAACGGTGTTTCTCTCAGGCGGGTCAATGAGGTTGAACTTAGCCGGATCTTTCTTGGGATCAAAGTTTCCAACACCGGTTCCAACTACAAAGAAGTTGTAGCCATGAAGATGGAAAGGGTGTGACTCAACGGTTAGGAGATTGGTGTCTTGCAAGACGAGCTCAATTGTAGTATTGAACTTAACTCGGCTAAGTCTTGTCCCCGTAGATGTTCCGAGGTTAGCCGTGAGCGGCACACCTGTGTAGTTAAACGCTTTGGGGGGTCTGTCTGGGAAATCAGTCCTGAAAACACCCGAGATGTTGGAGTAATGTGCTTTCAAGAGCGCGGTTTTGGGCATAACGAATGTGATATTGTTTATAGAAGCTGCAAGATTTGTCCCGTTCACACAAGTCGGGCAAGCGTTAATGCCTAGCCCGATAGTGTAGAACAGTCGCCGGTCGACTTTTAATGGAACAAGAGCCGGAAAATTTGGTGTGTTGAGGCTCTTGAGCTTTCCGTTATAGTCCAAAGCAAATGATGTGTCGTTAGGCAAAGGAAGCTTTGGTAAGATTGGTAAGACCGTGTTTGGTACGCCTTTGTATTGAAGAATCGCGGTTACAGTTTTGTTGTCTACGGATACTGGAGCGTCCATGAACGGACTAGCTGCCATGTAGTAGCGGTTTGGTGAGCGGTCGGTTTTGACTAGAACATTAGTGGTTTGACCTGGTCCGATTAAAATGGCTTTGGTTGTGAACGGTTTAGTGTAGACCGCATCGATTTCCACCACGGTCATGTTGTGTCCCGCAATCCCGAAGAATAGCTCGTCGTTTAATGCTGCGTTGATAATCCTTAGAAGGTATGTTTTACCCGCTTCGGCCTCTATAACAAACGTGTCTGAAAAAATATACGGTAAAAGATTAATGATATCCGAGATCCAATCCGATAACAAACGGTTTAAAACGGTTTAGAACTTTTACGTTTCTCGGAACACGGAAACAGCGGTCCAGGTTTTCCGTTAATGGTATGAGCATCCGACATTGGAGGCGGTGCACCCAATTGGTTGGCTTGGTTAACCGCAGTCTCAACGTCTTTGTTCCACCATTCTCCTACAGTCCAGTATCAAAAAGGGCAATGAGAAAAAAGAAAAATCAAAGGATGGGACTGAACCGACCGGTTTGGTTTTATTCACTAACCGAGGATTATGTTAGATTCTTGGTATGGTTGTGGGAACGGATACGGTTTTCCCGGTTCAGGCAAGATGACAATAGCTCCGTAGACGGTGGCTCGTAGCCAGAGGATGTGTGCGTGCCACCAAAGGGTCCCTCGTTGTCCGGTCACATTGAAATCATAAAGGTAACTCTGTCCGGTTTGGATCGGACACTGAGTTATGTATGCTGGACCATCCGCCCAACCGTTCCGGTACTGTTTAAGCCCATGCCTATAAAACAAACCGTTAAATTTTGATTCACAAAGAGATACTAAACCGGTAACGCCGGTTTGAGTCGTAGGAAAGGGATGCTTTACCAATGGATGGACATGTTGTATTGTACATGGTTGGTTACGTTGATGATGACTCGATCACCTTCTCTTGCGTAAACCGTC